CAAGCTCTGGATCAGCTACTATAAAACACCATTAAGGAGCCCCTGGTCTTACCCTCTCGCTGCTGCTGTTGCCACAGGCCTCATTTATTTTCAGATTTCAGGCTACCTCTAGCTTTGATGACAGATGCACATGACAGCACCCGAACACATCGATCGACAGAGACTGGAAAGGGAGGGATTTCTAACATTTTTTATAACCTCTCAACTGGGATTCACATTTCTAAGGCTCTGTTTTTATCTCACTCTCTCTCTCTGTTCCAGGCCAGGGGAGAGGAGAGCCAGATTGCTTTACGGGCTCAGTAACAGGATAGCAGATCTGCCTCTCACCACACTTCTGCTGTAAATAATGGAGAGTATATCCTGTAATGTATGGATCTGTGTAAACATAGCATGCACTCCAGGTATGTGTTTTGGAGTGGAGAGTGAAGGTAGTGAGAGAAAAAGGCAAGTATCTATGCTGTAGTGCCTGCGTCTGCAGTTTGATGAGACCTCTGCAGTTATTCAGCTCATTATTAAAGGGCCCATAATAATGGGCCTCACTCTGACCTCTGACCTGCAGCTGGGACGCGATGAATAGCAAAACACATGCTCACACAATCATGGGCAGACACATGCAGCAAACACACAGATCTAGAGATCACAGGACACCTATGAAAACATACAAATACAAATTCATGCTTATCCACAAAAACACCCACTTCACACCTCTGAAATCACTCAGATAAAACTTTTTTTCAATTTTTTATTTTGTTTTTTTGTTTTTTAATTAGCCACAATGCTTGCTATGGTTGTTTAATGGTAACATGTCCGCAATAACAGTGTGGGACGAGTTATGCACCAAAGTGTAATACTTAGAGGTTTGTTCACATCCCTAACCCTAAATATGAGCAATAGCAACATCATGTGAAAATACTTTTAACAAAGAGTAAACTTACACAAAAAAACCCTCTTAAGTAGAGATATTACAAAGAAACATGTATATAAAATGTATTTAAGGCATAAAATAAAGCTAGAGAGAGAGAGCTAAATTAATTTTTGCCCGCTGTAATCTCAGTCGCTGCACATACACCTGTACCTGATGTACAGAGTTTAAAGAGGTGACTTTAGCCTCATCTGACACGACAGATTTCAAATGACTTTAAACTGGCTTAGCAGCACAGACACACATAAGTTGTCACTGGCTTAACCAAATCACTCCACACAAAGACGCATTAGCAAGGAACGAGGAAATCTGGGAAAGCTCTTTCTTTCTTTCTTTCTTTGAAATGCGGTCTGAGCGTCTTTAATAGAGAGAGGATTGTGACAGTGTTCTTGAGTACGAAGGTGAGACAAACCTGCTGAGTAAGTAATACAGTAAGGGTGTAACAATGCCAAGACTGAAAATTAAAATGTTTGAGGTCAAGACAAATTGCATCACGTTGGATGAAAATATGTTTTTATGTATTTATTTGACCTAGTGTGTGAACAATAGTAGAAAAAAAAGAAAACAAGAACATTAATTATGTCATTGTAAGAGGGAAACCGTAGGAACCTTACATTCAAAGCACCACAGGAAACTACATATTGATTGAGGCTCTATTAATTTGCAATATAGTAGCTGGAAATATATTCTAGGCAAGAGCAGCAAATCATCACGGTACGGCCGTTATGAAATAACAAGCCTTTAGGGCTGAACCTGTCAGTGCATCAAATCTCTCCGCACCAGAGGTAACATCAAAACAATATCTCCAGAACAGAATTATGTTCCATACTCAATTTCCTCTTAACGCATTACCTGAAACAATATGAGCAAAGCTAGATTTCAAAAAATGATAGCAAGGTGCTTTTCGGTATCTGGCGAGGGCTGGAGAGAGACTCGAGTTTCATATTATGACCAGTTGTGATCCCCTTCCTTTCCCCCACACTATGATTCACTGGCTGCTTTGTATGCACACACATCTACTCATCCATTCATGTATTGACCTAGTGAGACAGAGCAGAACGAGAGGGGGATGGAGGGTAATAAGGAAGAAGAATATAAGTTGTCGTTCCTACCTGTATTATTGACATCCTGTTCACTGGCGCCTCGGTGGTGTTTGTAACAGGTCCCGTGAAGCTAGTGTGACAGCCAACGTGCCCTTGAGGAACACTGAGGTTGTTGGTGGTGGGTTTGAGGTACATGACCTCTGACCTTGGAGAGCTGAGGGGCAGACGGGTTTGGTAGTCGAAGTACATGGGCGAGGTGGCCAGAGAGGGACTGCTGACAACGTTCATCACATTCATGGTGTCCCGCTCCTCCACTTCGCTCTGCACTAGCATGATGTCATTCTTGTTGATCTTCTTCTTCTTGCCCTTGCCAAGTTGCGGGTGAGTGTACTCGGCGATGCGACAGTTGTATGTGCGGATCTCCTTGTTCTCCCGTTTGCACTTGACAGCGATGGTGATCATGGCAGCGAGGAGCATAATTGAGATGATACTCAGGGTTACTATTAGTGGGAGCGACATGTCCCAGTTATGGTGTTCTGCATTGATGCGTGGTTCGCCCTCTGGTAAGGGCCCGGAGTAGGCTTTGACGATAAGTTTCGCCATGGCGGAGAGTGATGGCTTGCCATGGTCAGTCACCTTGATGATGAGTTCCACAACAGGTGCCACCTCCTCCCACAATGGCTGGGCTGTCCGTACCTCGCCCGTCACCGAGTCAATCTCAAACAGGTGTTCCTCATTGCCATCTGAGATCTCGTAGGTGAGACGACCGCTTTCACCAAAATCATTGTCCACTGCTCTCACGGTGGTGATAATGTGTCCGACTCCCACATTGCGAGGTACATGGATCTCAGCAGTGTCATTCTGAAGTAATGGAAGGACAATGACAGGAATGTTATCATTAACATCCAGCACACTGACACGGACAGTGGTGTTGCTCTCCAGGTGAGGGTTACCTGAATCCTTCGCCTGGACCTTAAAGTCAAAATACTTGGTTTGTTCATAGTTGAAACTCCTCAGGGCATAAATTGCACCATCAGTGGGTTTGATGTTAACATATGTAGTGATAGATTCCTCACTTACATTAGAAGGAAGAAGGGAATAGGATACAGTACCATTTTGGCCCAAATCTGGGTCATGAGCAAGAACAGAACCCAGGTATTCCCCTGGGATGTTGTTTTCAGGCACCTGGAGAAGGTAGACCATTTTTGTGAAGCGGGGTGCATTGTCATTTTCATCTAGAATCTTAACAGTGAAAGACTTTGTTGAGTTCAGGGGTGGGTTACCATTGTCTTTGGCCACAATTGTGATGTTATACTCATCTTTTACCTCCCTGTCCAGGGGTCTGTCGGTCACTACTGTGTAGAAGTTATCATAGTTCTCCTCCAGCTTGAAAGGAACATTCCCCAAAATCCTACACTGGATCTGCCCATTGCGGCCTGAATCTTTGTCTGTGACTCTAACGAGTGCGATCACTGTCCCTGGAGCTGCTGCTTCACTAACCGCCCCCTGACGCACAGCTACGAAACCTATTGACGGCCAGTTGTCATTCCTGTCAAGCACTTTAACAGTGACTTTACAATGGCCAGGAATTGGGTTGGGGCCTTGATCCTTTGCCTGAACATCAATCTCTATAATTGGGTTCTCCTCAAAGTCGATTTTATCCTGGATCTTTACCACACCCGTTCGGGGGTCTATTGAGAACAGCTCTTTGATCCTGTCTGAGACATAACAGCTAAAAGAATAAGTAACCTGCCCATTAATCCCTTCATCGGGATCTGTAGCATTTAAATCTATCAGTGCCGTGCCTAGGGGTGAATTCTCAGGGATCTCCACTACATATGAGGGCTGTTCAAACACAGGGCTGTTGTCATTGGAATCAGTGACTTTCACATTGATTTGCATTGTGCCTGATTTGGGATATTCCCCTCCATCTGTGGCAGTTATAATTAAGGTGTGATGGCTACGTTCCTCTCGATCTAAGGACCTCTGAACGACCAATTCAGGGAATTTAGTTCCATCCCCTCTGGATTTAACATCCAAAGAGAATATACTATAATCATCACGCGTGATCTGATATGTTTTCAGGCCATTTTCCTTAGTGTCAGGGTCGTAGGCAGCAGCCAGGGGGAAACGTGTGCCAGGGGCTGCGTTCTCAGATATGTCAAAATCGATCTGTTCAGAAGGAAAGCTTGGTGCGTTGTCATTTATGTCCTGTATCTCAACTTTAATCATGCAGATCTCCTTGTCGTTGGCAAACACTTCCATGGAGAGCTGGCACTTGGTGTTTTGTCTGCACAGTGTTTCCCTGTCAATCCTCTGTTTAGTGTACAATAGCCCACTTTCGGGATCCACATCAATAAGGTGTGGGGCGGAGTTCTCCAACACCCTGAAGTTGGATTTTTTCCCCTGCTCTCCCAGTTCCAGCTCTGCATCCTTGGCAATGTTTCCAATGACACCTTGAATTTTCTCCTCAGGTATTGAGTAGTTCAAGTTTTTCAATGTCAGGGCTTGCGCCCATAAAAGTAGGAAAAGGAAAACAGAAAGATGCATCCCTTTCAGTGAGAGTGTCTTAGGTTTCTGATGCGTTTTACACCTCCGACCTGTTGATCTTCCCGGCAATTTCACAATTTCTACCTTCAATTACTGAGCACACATGCCGATTCATGATAAAAAATGTATAAAGTCATTATGTGGGCTTTTCCTTTGAATGCTCTTTTCTTTCCTCCGTAGCAGGGCTCCCTTTATCCTGAGTTTTTACAACAAATGGTGAGGCTGTACAGCTAATTTATATTCTGCTGAATGCCCAGGCGCATTGGAGGCAAAATCACAATCCGGTTTCCACAAAGAAATAGCCTTTCCCAGCCTTTTCGCCTGTAATAAAAATAAAAGAAAAAAAATCTGTGTCAGATTACTGCATGTAATATTGCACTTGATCATTTAAATTATATTATAAAGATTTAAACAAGCACCTTGTGTCTCAACATATGCGCTTTTTTCCTCTGTAGTGTGACCGTGTAATTCTAATGCGTAATTCCTCATTCCCTGGGGAACGACGTGAATGGCATGTCAATCCAACCTTGAGATGCGTCGGAGCGCTTTACCGCTGAACACAGGTGGATGTTTGTGTTATTCTGCTCTCAACATGTAGGCTAAGCAATGCGTCGAGGATGCGCCATGTGGCACGAAGAGTGTTACGCGCATCATACGAGTAATTATGGATAAAGGTGGTGAGCAAATTAATACGGATAGATCTCTTTCTATGTTCTATGTCCTCAAACAGCTGCTTAACTGATGCCATATCAATACCTTGCTGTCTTAAGGCAACCCCCTGAATGCAAATGCGTTGAAATAAGCCTCTTAACCGGCATAATCCGGCTGTTAAATACAATTCTTACATAGTCGCAAAAAGCAGAGCAAATGAAACACAATCCTGGATGGTTATTTATACTGCGCTTCTTGAATAAATACAAGAAGAAGCTGTTGCATCCTCTCTGGCACTGTGCGCATCCAGCAGCTCCAGGAGCATATATGACATGTCATTTCATGTTTTTTTTTTTCTTTTCAGGATGACACTTTGGAACAGAATGATGATGAGAAACATCACACAGACTTACCTGTAATCTTATATCCAGTCTAAACACAACCATTACCAAAGACGAGTTACATCCTTCATGCACCTTCCCAATGAGTGGAGGGAAAAAAAA